ATTGCATCTCAACGTGGGACTAGGGGCATTATCGTCAGAGTGGTCTTTTCTCGATTGAATTCAACATCGTTTTAATTGTTTGCTTCCTAAGTTTATTAGCTTTAGCAACAATCCGATTGCTAGATAACTTGTAGACGGCTGAAGTAAGTGTATACAGATCGTTCGGGTTGACATTTAAATTACTTGCTCTATGCTGCACAAGGTTATAAATTACACTTGACCTATAACTAGAATTGAGTTGTAGTGGTAGCAAGTGAAAGAACACAATGATAATCCATAATAATAGTTGTTATGTTAAGGGCATAAAATATGATAGGAAAGGAGTCATATATAAAAACTAAGGGGCAATTCTAGAACTATTAAGCACCCAAATCTGTGAATCCAAAACCAAATCTTGGTGCTGTTGGGGGGTTCTGAAGGGCATCTTGTGGGTGCATTATTGATCACCCCACCATCCCTCCATTAAACTATTCCCTTTTGTTCTCTTGTCTCGTCTTCATAACAAAATATTATTAGTTAGAACTTAATTAAAACATATACTAATCAATAGGCCTTCACATTTACATATATCCATCTGCATGTGGTCGCCAATTATAGCAGCACTAAGTAACACAAAGGATTTAATTAAAAAAGAAATAACATGTCCTAGGGCTTCCTCTCTAAAGCAAAGATTCAGCATTGGCTTTCCTCAATTATACGTGTACCCCATCGATGCATGTTCGCTTCGCCTCGACCAGTTCCAGCTCTCTGATCCCGATGCGTATTTGTTTAATTATAATTAAGCTTCTTGATCCTAATTTACTGATGATCAAATGAACCAGACCACTTAACTTTTCCCCTACTTAGTTTAATTAAAGCCTACTTAATTAATAAGATTATCTAATATTTTGAATCGGATTGAAGAAGATAAAAGGGTTAATATTTGGCCCGAAGTTTTCCCATCTTTAACAACTTCGGGCTAGATAGTCCGATTCAAATCATATCAACAGATCTTCATTTAGATTTGAATTAGGGATGGCAACAAAACCCGAACCCACGGGTACCCACCCGACCCAACCCGGTCAACGCGGGTAAAATCCGTGTTGACGGGTTTTGGGCCGGGTTTGGGTTTAAACCCGTTCACTATTCAACGGGTTGGGTTGGGTTTGGGTTTAGGTAAACCCGGCCCGTGGGTACCCGCCCACCCATATAATTAATTTTTTCGGTATATGTAATATTCTAAACAACTAATCTTATTTATGTTTGTGGAGACATGTCTAATTTTTTCTTTTTAATTGTGTAGAATGAAGTTGATGTTATGTAGTGGAGAGTAAAGAAACTTAATTGAAAGGAAGAAGCTTTCAATTAAACATGTTATTTATGGAAAATTTGTGATTTGCTTCAATTTTTTTGAGTTTTCTAGATTGGTGTTGAACAATTTGTATAGTTAATTTGTGATTTGCTTGAATTTTCTAGAATGGTGTTTTATATATGGATAATTTGTATTGAGAGATTGATATTTGACTTTAATTTTGATAAGAACTTGTAATTGTAAATTTTTTACGACAAAACCCGTGGGTACCCATGAACCCGCGGGTACCCAACGGGTTGGGTTGGGTTTGAGTTTTTCAAACCCAACGGGTTTTACCCCGGGTTTTTTTCAAAGATAAACCCATGGGTTTGGGTTTGGGTTTGGCAAAACCCGACCCAACCCGACCCATTGCCATCCCTAATTTGAATCCTCTCTTCTGAAATCATTTATGTACTCTGATATTTCTCTCTCTCCTACCATCAATGCCCCTTATAGCATATTCACCCACTCGGATCATTCAACAAGTTCAAACAGTGTTGGAACTTGCCATGTGAAACTGGCCGACTTCGTGAACATGTCAGTTGGATTGTCCACAGTGCCAATCTTCTTCACCTTAATCCTCTACTCCGTTCTCAAGAAATGATACTTCACATCGATGTACTTAGTCCTCTCATGATGTACTTGATCCTTGGCCAAACATATTGCACTCAAATTGTCACAATACACCACTGTCTGATCATGATGTAGACACAGGTCACCAATCAGCCCCAACAACCATATTCCCTCCTTGGAAGCTTCTGCCAACGCCATTATACTATGCTTCGGTAGTAGACAATGTCACTATCTACTGGAGAGTTGCTTTCCAACTCACCACAACCTGCAACAGCGTCCAAACGGGTCTACGGGCAACGTTCGTCTGAACGAGTACTATTACTTCCGTTGAACTATATTGGTTTGTTTGTACTGGTATTGATTTGTTTATGTTTTTTTAAACTAGTATTAGTGTTTTTGAAGTGGTTATGTTTTTTAATGATTTGGTTTTTATTTTGAAGTGCGATTGGTTCATCTGAACTGGTATTAGTGTCCTTCATGTCACCATTACTAGTAATCATCATATCCGTTCCCCTGCTTGCACCACCTACTCTAGTATTAAGTAGTTCATAATGACAATACCACTTACTATAGTTTACCCATTGCCGATTAGAACCAAACCGACACATTAATTACTGCGCATTGCTGTAACATTCCCTTCCACCAGATCGTGGAGAGATCCAAGAAAGAACCCAAACCATAATCTCAAGTGAATTAATCAATTAATTAAGGCCTGGAGTGAGTGGTGACCGGTCGCTTTATCTATCTTTACAGCAGAGAAAGCAATTGGAAGAAAATGAACAGAAGCGTTACAACCACAATCCAATGCTTACGTAGCCTGTATTAGAAAACAATACATATATATATGGTGCAGTTGGGATCAATTATTGGTTGATTGGAGGCTTTTTGTGTTCATGGAACTGGAAAGTGTCATTAAACAATAATGTCCCTTCAGTCATCGTGTACAGCAGTAATAATGGTGCATAGGATTCTAATCTTGGAATGCATATAATATGACTGGTATCGCCGTATAAATGTGCCCAATCGATCCCACATGTCGTTTGTCCTTTTGAAGAAGAAGCCAAGTTATATTCTATTCTACCAAAAAGGAAGGAAGAAAGAAAGAAAGAGAGCAAGTGAAGTGAGAAGTGGTGATCATCAGAAGTGAGAACCTTCTCCCCCACCATCGTCGCAGTCATGTGGGGAGGAAAGTGGGACAATACCATAATAATAACTCTAAATTCAAAATCACCCAAACAATGTCTTAAATAATGTTTGATGCCATACTAGACTATGATGCCCTTTTATGGAAGCAGTTAAGAATTGTCAATTTTGATTTCAATTATCTTATTTCATTCGATATATTTTGAGGAGGTATTATACATATCGTGAGTAGCAGTAGATTGGATATGTGTCTCGTAATGAATTGATATGTTATTTATGTTTTCAACCCATTTTATCTTAATTTTCAGTAATGTTTACTCATATGTGTCAATATCTGTTATTTTGACTTCTTCATAAACTTATATATGTTGGTGAAAACTTCTACTTCCCAAACAATTGGGGTTTCTTAGACATGTGTACATCATATGTTTTATTTATAGGGGGGTTTCTCTTTGTATTTTCATATTAAATCAAAATATTGCATATTTTTCTTTTTTACTCATGAAAAAAATAGGTTAACCTGCTGCCACAATCCATGTCCCGTGTGAATATTAGCTGCCCTAATCAATACCTATCAATACCACTGGAGGGGTATCAATAATGAAGACACCCGCCGCATTGTCATTTTGTAGAATAAGCGAGTGAGTTTTGCCCAGTAATTACTCTTTGCTCAAATTGTCCTCATCTAACACACTAGATTCGGGGTTGCCTTTTGAGATAGTTGTTATTTATATATCTAGGATATGTTAGGAACATCTACTAGGTTTCTGTGTTTGAGAGTATAACATTTTTTTCGGTAGTCTATATTTGAGATAATAATGATTGATTCTATGCAAGAGGTATAGATTTGTACTAGCTTGTAGTGGAAAATTATACAGAAAAATGGTATAAAATTTATTCTCAAATTTGTACCTTAATCATAAGTTATTAGAATCAATTTATACCAGTAACCTATTCCACGACGGAATATTGCTTCATAGTAGGGGACGAGAACTCTCATCCTAGGCGAGAAGATGAAACCCAAAGGCAAAATCATAACCTCGTTCTAACTTTTTAGCCCTTTGATTCCATTGCACTGACTACTGACTAGTAAGCTTTTGTGATGGGGGGTTTTCGGCTGACTACAAAGTGTCATTTTCTTAGGCATGAAAGATGAACAGTTTGGTGTGGAAAGAAAGGATCCCCATCAATCAGAGTATGAAATAAAAAATGCAAAACAGAAAGTACAAAGCTTTGTACTAGCTATAGACATTAGCCATTCAGGGTTAACCAAGATAAGAAGAAGAAAAGCCAAACTCAACCATTGCCCCACTTCTAGATTCTAGTCCTAGCTAGCTTGTCCTTCAATGGTCAACACTAGAACTACCACCAAGTACCCATCTTCTTTCTTAACTAGAACACATTATTGCTTGAAATCCCTACACTAATGTACTCAGCAAAATTCAACAATTTTCTTTTACAGAGAGAAGATATCTAATTTTCGACACAAAATGTCCGGCCAATTCCTATAGAACAAAATCATGAATATCCGACAACCTCATATTCATAACCTTTCTTGGGTTAACCATCATGCGTTATTTCTTCAACCTTTTAGATAGTTCTCAGCAAAATGAACAATTATAAAATAAAAATTGTGATCTGATAAATCTGCTAAGGTTACAAGATTCAAAAGAATACAAATGAACAATATGCAACACAAAACAACAATATATTTCAATTTTATTTACTCTCATACAAACTAGAATTCAACTAATTACACAAGTTATACTGTACTAGAGTAGAAAAATAATAATTGTGGGAAAACAAGAGAATCTAATTATAAGACGTAAAATATCAAATCACTAATTAAACTCAGAATTAAATCACTAAATCAAACCTCAAACATGGCTAGCTAATTAAAGTAAGTCGAATCAGCTTGTAGTAAATATTAAAATTACTAGGTTAGGCAAAGCAGCTAGCCAGCCCTTTGAACGTGACGGCGTACGAAGACGGTATCCAAGTCAGGAGGGACGAAGAACTCCCTCGCGCCGCCGCCGTTGCAATTCCGCTTCAAGCTGGTGGCCCTCCGCTTCCTGGGCGGCGGAGGGCAGGGCAGCCTCGCCGGTATCCTCGCCTCTTCGCTCTTGGGAGTCGTCGGAGATCCGTACGGCTCGTCGTCCACCTCGCCGCAGGCTTCTTTCTCCGCCGCCGCCGTCGTGTAGATAGGCTTCAAGGGAGCACGGAGCGAGATGCCGGAAATCACCCATTTGCCGTCCTGAGATTTCTCTGCCGAGAAACCCATTGGAGGAGAGAAAATCGTGAAGGAATTCCCGATTCCTTGTTACTGAGGGAAGTTTGCGAGAGTGCAACCAAATATAAGAGAGAAAAGGAATAAGGAATAAAGATCACATATGTGTAAAGAAAGCGGCTTTTTGAGACGTAGAAGAAGAATAAAGATGGAAGCTTGAAGCTTTTTTGTTTCCCAAACTTTGGATTGGAGGAATTTTGCTTTCTTTGGCTTTGGGCCTGAAATTGAAGAAGTCAAGGGAAAAGGGTAGAGTGTTGTGTTAGAGACAGTTGAGTTATGGAGAAGCTTGGGTTTGGGGTTATAAAGATGGAAACTTTTTTTGGAAGGGATGGGAGAAAGGAAATTTTTTTTTTTTTTGATAGAAAGGAGAAAGGAAATTGAAAAGAGGGAATTGAAGAAGGGAGGGAGGAAGGGTAAGTTCAATGTTTCTGTTTATACCATTGAGAGAAGAGAGAGAAAGAGAACCCGAGGTGAATGGACAAATCATGGTTTGACACTTGACTTTACACCTAGCAATTATTAATTATAGAAGTTTGGGAATTTTTATGTTTTGTTGGTTTGCACTTTTGAACACTTATCTTCAAGAAAATTCATGTATGTAATTGGAGGTGGGTTTATCTAGGTTAACCATAATAATCGTGATAAATATGTATAATCAACACCGAAAGGCTAGAATTCGAACAATATTCGAGGTATGTAAATTCATATTCTACTAGGAATCTAGGATTGTAGCATGTATGCGTGTGCATGTTCATATAGCCTAAACTTTTGTCTACCACACTTATCATTCTTTCAAAAAATAAAAGAATATCCTTAATCGTCATCCCATGTAAATTTTCACTTGTTCTGTTTCTTAATTTTTTTTTTCTCTTCGAAGGAGGCTTAACTGCTTAAGCCAAACAAAAGAAGGAAGTAGAGGAGAGAAGGCTACTCGATGCCACTCGAAGTTTCGTGTGATGTTTTCATAGGCGTTTGGCTATTAGGGGCGAAACATTGTTGGCTCATAAAATTGGAACAAGTGGTCTCATATTTGGTCTCGCTCCGGCATCACAAAATGTGGTGTGTGTGGGGATGTTGTTGGGTAATTAAGAGAGAGAGAGAGATGAGAGAGGGTTAATGACTGGAGCGGGTATTAGAGGGTGTTCAATCGGCGTGCTAATTGTGATAATCACTTTAATTGGCATTATTTGGATAGTTTAGTTTTGTTAATTTTGATAATTAGTTTGGTTTAGTTAATTATTTTTAGTTTGTTTAATTTAGATGGTTTGGTTTCACACGCTCCCATTCAAATCAATTAAAAAATTAGTTATATGTCTAATATATTATATACATATTTAATATTTTGCATAACCACTCATGAGCCAAACTTTTCTTCCGTCTAGACTCATTAAAAAAGATAAAGTTCATAATGTTCATATACTACATTTTTTTTTGTAGAGCGTAGACAACCAGTGGCGGATTCAGGGGGTCGCCACCCTGGGTCATGGCCCAGCCCTCCTATGGATCCGGAGCTAGTATAGCACTTATAAGTTTATCGATTTTAGTAATTCGTCCCAGTGCTATTTTATAATAAAATTGTTTGAAATTAGAAAATGGGTCAGATGAACATATTCAAATTACAACTCTAAATTTAGTCTAGAAATTCTAGCTCCAATGATTTTCGTCTAAAGAAAGACAAACAACGAAACATGAAATTCTAGAAGTCGAATCGTGAAAGACTAACAGAAATATGAAGTTTGCTCCCTTGAAAATTCACTAGAGCACCTGTGGGAGATAGTGATGGACACACAATACAAATTGATTAGTCGATTGATTTGTCTAGTGCTGACATTACCCGTTTCAACAACTACTATGGAGAGAACCTTTTCAACAATGAAACATGTGAAAAATGATTTGCACAATAAAATGAGCGATGACTTTCTCGCCGATTGGTTAACTATTTTATTTGAAAGAGTGTATGCTATTGGTATGGATGTAGACTCCATTATTGATGAATTCATAATATTAAAAGATCGACGTGTATAGGGGCGGAGCTACGTTGGGGCTCGGGGGGGGGGGGGGGGGGGGGGGGGGGGGGGCGAGAATTTTGAAAATTGCGTACAAGTATAACGAGAATTTTGAAAATACGTATTAATTAAGCGTTATGTACAAATAACTACAATATGCAGTTTGATACAATTGTGTTTCCATGTAGTCTAGTGGATAATTGATGAGCTTTCATTTGTTACTTATAATAACATTGAAGAACACGATACAAATAAAAAATATGATTGTTTTTTGTTGACAATTTGTTTAATAATATTGAACATATCGTTCCTAAATTTTTAATTTAAATCATCATTTTAGTGCAAATAATTATTAAATAATAATTTTGATGTGATATATATTATTTTTTATTTTTACGAAAATATGTACTAAAAAAATTTCGCCCCCCTCCCGGAACTTTAAAACCTGGCTCCGCTCCTGGACGTGTACAATTGATAATGTAAAAAACTATAATTTTTTTTACGGTATCTTAATTTCTAATGAAATGCGGCCCAGTGCTCTACTATGTCCAGGATCCGCCGCTAACCAACAACATATAAGAACCTAGTTTTGATAAAAACTCATACATTATGCTGGATGACAACCTGAAAGCGAAAGTATTTTTCAGTCTATAATATTTGATAAGAGATTAAGACAATTCACACATACACACCCAATATCATTAACCTCATACCCTTCACATATATTTTTTCTGGTGGCTATTTCTAACAGTTAGCCACTTCTGTTAGCCACTTAAACAATTGAATGACGGTGTTAATGGAGACTATCGGAACTAACGGAGAGTAACTAAACGTGGACCGTTTTACTAATTCGAGTGACCAACATTGATAATATATATATTTTTTTAACTGACTAAACATAACACGTATTAGTAAACCCGGTGACCAAATCGTAACATTTATCCATGAGAAAATATAATTAAAATGAGAGAAGATTAAAAAAAACAGAACTGGAGGGGCAAAACGAGACTGGTGAAACCGTGAAAGGGAAAGATTTTTTTTTTTTTTTTGACAAGAGGAGTACTTGTATTGAAATAATGTCAAGGTTACAAGGGTTGAGAACCACAATGAAAGCAGAAAACAGAGCAACAGTCGAGTCAAATGTGAAAGCAATCTAAATCAAAAGAGAAGGCCAGAAACAGAACATGAAGTAGATTGATCCCAACAAAAGAATCTCCACAAAAGGATGCTAACATTGAGAACCCAGAACCCCTTGCTTCCACAACATTCAGCACAGCACAAGCAAGGTTCCAGCTCGCCCGAAACCAGACAGGCCCATGGCTATTGAACATTGCAACGCCATAAGCCGCCACCTGGGGATCGTTCAGAGACTATCCATCACAGTGAATCTCATGGAAGGGATTACTCGGCGGTGGGCAGGCTGAAACCGGGATGCTCTGAGCTGAAAAGGCCGAGGAAGCCGGAGGCACGGATGACCAGGAACCGGGAAAAATGAAGAATCAACTTCACCATCTCTAGGAAGCCAGAGAATCAAAGCCAACGACACCGAAAATGACACCACACCCCACTTCAGTCGGCTGCAAGTCTTCAAGAAAACCAGTGGAAGAAGGAAGGGAGGAACGGTGAATCTGCTCACCAAAAGAGATGAGCACACCAACAAGGAGTAGAACCCCCAACAGTAAAACACCATTAGAAGTACTCACAAGTTGCAACTTTCAGATCCAAGGAGCAAAGCCAAACCAGATCTAGAAACTAAAAAGAACACTGTGGATAAAATCACTTGGAGAGTGACCATGAAGGTCCGGAAAGAGCCGCCATGAGCTGGAGAAAAATGCAGGGCAAGCAAAACATAAAAAAGAACAGTAAAAATAAAACATTGGGCCACCGCCGGTCAGCAGAGGAACACCGGCGGCAGCCCTGAGCAGTGAAAAGGCGATGGCCTTTAGAGAGAAGGGAGAGCAAACGGATTTAAAAAAAAGTAAGAGAGAGAGCACTGATTTGTAAAAAAAAAGGGAAAGATTCAAAGGAAGGAAAGAGTGCCCGTGAATCTAGCTGACCGACGGTCAGCCGCAAGAATTGACTTTGATTTTGGCGCCAAAAATTCTCTTCATATTTCTGCTATTTTATTTTATTTAAGATATCTTTTGGGATCATCAAATGGTGATTGCATTGCTTGCTAGTTGCTGCTGCTGGTGCATTGCTTTGCTTCCTCCTATTTGTTAATCTTCTAATAGTTTTGTTTAGCAAAGATTGCACTCGATTGATTTGATTGATTGGTGTCAATTAATTAATTCATTGAATAGAGAATATGCTGTAATTGTTTGGTTCCCAATGTTTATCCCATCTCATCCACTACATATTATTTATATTAGGCAAACATATTATTAGGCAAAGAGGGAGAAGGAGAGTGTGTGGGTGAAACAAAATAGAAATTTAAATAAATTAATTTCAAGTAATGATTATTTATATTGTAGATCATTATTAATTTAATATTTTTGTCTAATTCAATGCAATGAAATAGATAAAATCAGTAACATCTCAGAAAAATTCAACATCGACAGTGTACGGGAGAGATCCAAAGTTTATAAGTAAGAAAACCGGTTTGAACTGACATGACGCGTATTGAGGTAAAATGAAAGAGTTTTTGTAATTTAAACGTTCTCACTGTGGAAAAGCACAAGGATGGTTGTCTCATGGGAAGTCATCTTGATATGCATTCAAAGAAAAAACCATATGGGTCTAGACCCAAAACAGACATCTTGCTCGGAAAAAGCTCATGATGTTACATAATCTATTAAAAAACTATGACAATTTACTTATCTACAAAGTAGAGGTAAATCTCTGCTATTAGATATGTACATAATATAAGATCCTATAAAAAAATAGCCTCCAAGAGCTAAGGTGCCAAAGACAAACTTTGATTATTGGTAACACCTATAATAGTGTCATTTAACCTTCCATTTCTTAGGTGTTTGTATGCCATAATCATTGTCTTTGCTATGTGAGATTGATTTCGTACTATATTTGCTTCCTAGCATAATACTCTAAGTTTAGCATGACTTTTTCGTCACTTGGCTGTTTTGACTCGAAACTTGATCAATATCATCCTATTCTAAACTAGGTTGTGTTTTCTTGCTTAATCTCATGTCCTAGCATGATAAGGAATGGGTGTGCCAATCAGTAGTCGTTTTAAGGATGAAAAGAAGTTGAAAATAAAGCTCAAGGTCAGTTACTGGCCAGAGTCACGGCTGTGACCCAAGCCATGATGTACATCACGACCATTGTTCACGGATCAATGACTGTGAATTCCATGGGGGCAACAAACGATGAAGTACAGAAGGTCTCATGGCCATCCTCACGGCTTCAACAGGCCAGACCGCGAGACAGAGTTCACGGCCGCAAGAAAAGATCTCGGGTGTGATCTCTAACCGTGAACATGGTCAGGGCCAGCTCACATCCATGACCCCTGGCCCTGGCATGTATCAACTTTTGATAGTTCATGGGATTCGTGCCCCATATCATTGTCGAGAACTCCTCCGAACCCTAGGCGATATCTCTATGTGTGTGAGTTTATAAATGTGAAGGGTTTGTTAACAATGAGAGGTATTTTAAAGAGAGAAAAATATAGTTTGGAGAGATTGTAGAGATTTTGAGTGATTTCTTCTTCATCGTATCCCGAAATCCTCCCTATACCAAATAAGGGTGGCCAAAGCAAGGAGTAGATGGATCTAGTTCAAGATTGGTGTTCTTCTTCATCATTGTACACTCTTTCTCTCTATGTTCTAGTTTCTCTTGTTGCTTAAGAAGATGAACCCTAGCTTGTAGATTGTTTGTGAGTTTGTATGTAAGGATGATGGTGAACCTATATATCTATGTCTATTTGATCTTTAATCATATGCCAATATCTTGCTTCGGTAGAGGTACCTATTGAATTGTTCTTGACCTAGGTTGTGGTGACCATCCTCTTAGGTCAAGGCTGGAACATGCATAAATATTGTGGGATTTTAATTACATGATCATTGAGTCGAAGTTCCATTTGCGTAGGGATTAATCCAATTGGAGAGTCTAGACCTAATGCTCTCGGTACCTAGTTACATGATCATTGAGCTAACATTGAAACCTAGAAGCATGATTGTGTGACATGATTAGTTACTTTTTTTTTGTTGTTGAAAAACCAGGGAACCTCAGCCCCACGTGCCGCTTGAGCGACAGCAGGGCCTACTAAACCACTGGAGGTACCTTCATACTAACCGAGGCTTTCTGCTACCAACATCGGGGAGGCTTCGTCTCCGATACCAAGGGTGCCGCCGGGAACGCTCAAGTGGCGCCACTGGGAATCGAACTCAGGACCTCCCACATCCAGAACTCAATTGGTCCAGTGGTTTCACCACTAGGCTATGTTACAGGTGCCATTATTTTCTACTTTTTACTACAAGTTATTGATTACTTGTGGCAAGAAGAACAAAAAAAGGAAAAGAAAAAAAAAAACAAATCGAGTTAGAAGAACTGTAACACCCCAAACTTTGAATTTAGGTTCAACCAATAATAAATGTACGATTGGATCGAAGGTTTCGAATAAACCGAAGCCAAACACATGTATAATACGAAATACTAAATTAGTTGACGGGAGACTCATAGGTTGCCTTTTACATTTATAATAATAGTTATCTTAATAATTTAAGATTATATTAGCTAAGGGGAATTAATTGGGTTTAATAATAATTATGAGAAATGTAAATAGCGAACGGTGGCCGATGGGGTTCTTGAGGTTGAAAAGTAGGGGTGGCTATACGGTCCGGTCCGGTTAAATTGGCCCAAATTGATCCGGTCCAGTCCGGTTTTTTGAAAATATAAGGACCGAAGATTGGATTGGATACAGTCCGGTCTTGATCCGGTCCGGTCCCAATTCGGTCTTGATTTTATATTGAGATTGTGGGAATTTGAGTGGTCTAAGGCCTAAAAGGGTGAGGAGTTGGTTAAGTTTTGTACTAAGTGCAAAGGTTTGTGACCGTTTATGCAAATTACTCTTAAGTTTTGGGTGTTGAGCTCTCTTATCCGGTCTTTATCTGGTTTTTTACCTCAAATCTAAGCCCAAATATTGGATTGGATTGTTTACTATCCGGTCTCGGTCCGGGTTATACGGTCCGGTTTCCGGTTTTTCATCCGGTCCCGGTCCAAATAGCCAGCCCTATTGAAAAGGACTAGAAATCCTTGCACCGCTCAACGTAAGTAAATGGAAAAGAGAGAGACAGACAGATCGGGATAAATGAGAAGGGAGGCGACGATGATGCACGAGATGGCAGACTATGGCGACGACGATGTGGGAGTGCAACCGCCGGTGTGTTTCTTCTCTTCAATCAGAGGCCTCAGCTAAAGATGTCGACCCTGAGCCCTGAGGTTGCTGCTCAAGGTATGGATTATGAAGGTGTCGAACCTTAAGCATTTGGCTATTATGTGGAGGTCCTACACATCGAGCAAGGGGTTGGAACGCCTGATGATGAACAAGGTTGGGGAATAGTTCAAACTGATCGGCCTGAAATCAAGGTGTGTTGGTCTAAGGGGGCCTAGTTAGTAACTCACTATAACGTATTTGATAATAGTGTGGTTTAATTGATTTATATTCAAGTATTTGCATTATTTCGTTATTATGATAAGTTGTTAAGTTATGCTCCTTTATCCTTTTATGCTATGTACGATTATGTTCAATTCTTACGTTTCCGTAAGCATTTCATTGCATATGCATCACTGATTAAGACAACGGAAAATACGTTATGTTTTAAGTATACTAGCTTATATTTTCCCATAGTGTGGAAAATGAATTTAAGCAAGTATGTTTGGTGGATTTATCAGCAAGTAAGATCGCGTTTTAACTCTCTCTTAGCTACCTACCCATGGTCACCTCACTCCCCACGGTGATGGAGTACTCTTTTATGTATGTACGAACCCCACTCCTGAGTAATAAGGAGGTTACGAACCCTCGCTCCTGGGTTATAAGGTGGTCCTGTTATGAGGTACCTCACAGCCATGTACAGCGTGTGGTATTGTGTTTCCCATATGAGGAAACCCATATTATAAGTATGTTCATGTTATAAGTAAGTAAGTTGGTGACCGTGGTAGTGTGCTAATTAAGTTGAGATCGGGCCCCCTTCACGAAATTATTTCCAAGTAAACAAAGCTTACTATACTCAGGCATTGCATGATCTTGAGCATGTGCATTATTTATGTATGTATGTCAAGCTACTTCTTTATCAATAAAATGAATCTAGGACATAGGATTGACCCCACACCCGCACTAAGAACTTGTAGGATTGTTGGCAGTACGTATAGTAAAGTTGACTAGACCACGACAAGGGTTCAAGGCTCCAGAGGATTTTCGGTATGAGAAATTTAATTCTCATATACATGATGGATTTAAGACTTGATGCACATTTATTAAGAATTCTTATGATTCTCTCTTATGCAAGTTTCAAGATATTTTTATTTGAATTTCAAGAGATTTATTAAATTTATTAAAGAAATATTTCTCGTTATTTTTTCCAAGCCTTGTGATTTCAATTATGGTTAACGATTTAATAAGGGTATTTTGGTAAAAATAGTGTCCGGCCGAACTAGGGTGTTACAAGAAGAAGAAAGTGATGTAAGTAGAAACACAAAGAGGCAGCAAACAGCCCACCACCATCATCATCGTCATCTTGATTCGCCAATGGAGAAAAAGAACCGCCCATAATAATTACTGAATCGCTATTCGTTGTCCTAAAATTCAAATTTTATCACCCTAAAACTCAACAAATTGACATATTTACCCTCAATCCAATTTCAATCTAACCGAACCAAACAATCCCTTCCTCACCCCAACCCACATCCACCGCCCTCATTCAGAAAAAGAACTGTCGCCCCCAACCCCAATCTACTGCCGCCGCAGGTACTAGAGCGCCGGAGGGAAGGAGGAGGAAGAAGCAAGCCGGCTGCCCTATTCAGTAAAAAATATAAAGCCTTTAATAGCGTGTTTAAGGGTCTTTCCAAAAATCAAGGATATTTAATACTTTGGCGATGCTCCGAAATGAATTCGATTACCGGAAAATTACACAATAATATTCCGGCGGGTAAAGGAGTCATCGGATGCAGGGGCACAAGTTTATGCCTTTAACTTTGAGGCAGGACGAGGGCAAGCTCTAGTTTGAAAAGTGAATCAGATTAATAGATTATGTCCCCCAAGTAGGGAGGAGAAAGGCATAATCTCAGGGCTTAATTTCGGGATCATCTCACAAAAATGATTTGATGCTCTTATTCTTCTACTTTGGTATTTGGACACCTTTTCCTTACATTTTTATCCATATCCCTCCCGGCTCCTGTTCTTTTTTTATGGTAAAAAACAACATATTTGTTTGTTCGTTGAAAAACAAAAAGAACCAATTTTTAAAAATGGACTTTGCAAATTAAAAAGAAATTGGATCTGGAACTTCCTTCCTTCCTTCCTATTATCTGCAGTAACCTTCGATCTCCCTCCTTTCTCAACTTGGAAAAGCAACCCTTTCTGAGATCCTTAAAGAGAGAAAAACATGAAAACAGAACAAAAGTCGGCTCTTCTCTTCTCTTCACCTCTCTTGCTGCAAATTGGGGGAAAGGTTATAAAGAATAACCGAGAAAAGATTTGGGATCCTTAATAGGAAGTAGCCTACTTTTTCCCACTCCTCTTTTCTTGGCAAAAGAACAGGCTACCAAACAGAAAACACCTCCATTTTCTTGCTTCACCCAGCCCCCTTTGTGACAAGCCATGTGCAATGCAAGCTAAAAAACAAGGGAGAATGGGGTTCCCAAATCTGAAATAAGAAAGTCCCATGTGGAGAGACTTGTTAGAGTAGAAAAAAGTTCCCATTTTGTGATATGAGATCAGAGCATGTTCCTGATTCTCTATCTCAACTGTCTACCCTCCAAACATATCACAACCATCCAACTTCCCTTTCCAGTTAGCGAAAGGAAAAAGTAAAAGCAAAAAAAAAAAAAAAAATCAAGTGCAGACATGCAATGTGAAATTTTGTGAAAAGTTGCAGACTTACAGCTACATAGATGCAAATCTTTAGTTGGGATAGGAAGAGAGAGAGAGAGAGAGAGAGAGAGAGAGAGAGTGAATGAGAACATATATGGGAATAGGCTTTTTTTTGGGAAGGATAAAAAAGCCAGAGAAGAATATAATCATCATCATCGTGATAACAATTTTTTACTGTGCTGTACTGAAATAATAATGATGATAGCAATATTGTGGTGGAGGGTGGGGACTTTACATCCTGGAGTAACCCCTGGTATCTTCATACTGCTCCATGAACCCGTCATTGAACTTCTTAAAGCTTTCCATGATAGCTGGCATGTCTTCCTCCGCTGGTAAGATGGTTGTCCTCAGATGGAAAACCCTGCGAAAATTTAAAACACAGGAACAACCATCATGTTATATGGATGGAACAACAAACCCAGATATGGTGAGGTTAAGATGGGTTGGTTCAGTTCTGGATTACTTACCCTTCTTTCTGGCCGAATCCTGAGCCGGGGACTGTGGAGATGCCTGTGGCTTCCAGTAGCTTGAGACAGTAGAAGACATCAGGAACTTTACCAGCGCTCTTGGCAGCCTCGATCGCCTTGGGTGGCAACCGTATTTGAGGGAACGAATACATGGCACCTGATAACCCGCGTGTTTAAAACAAATATAGTAAGTACGTTAAGGTTAACAGTAAGTATAATGTAGTGGCTGGCAGTTATATATTTGCATAAGCTATAGAGGAAGCTAACCTTCAGTGAAATTGCAGACCACATTGCGGCAGCTGTTGAAGCCATCTGTCATAATCCGAGCCCTTTTCCTTAGTGATTCGAGGATCCCCTTGCTGCACATCATTCATCATTTGAGAAATCGGATTATGCAACTCATACCACACAATGACTGTCGCAAATCATAGCAGACGTTACCTTTCCCTAATGAACTGCTCATAAGACACGTCCCCAGGTTTCAATGGGTTGACCATCAGCCCCATCTGCGTACACACACAAATTTGACCAAGTTAAATTAGCAACAGTGGAGCGGTGATATCCATTCGTGAAATACGAGTGATCATCGAGTTTGTGTACACGTACGAATATCTGAGCAGGGACATTTGGACTGAGGGCAATTGATGCAACCTTGTATATCTCGTCAACTGACTGCAATATCAAATTGGTCATACACAAAAGCTCAAACATTTAGCTTCTCGATCAAGTAACGTTCTAATAGAAGGATACCCATTATCTGGTTTATGTCCTAAGAGAAGTAAATCAAAACCTTTGGAGGAATGTTGGTCATCTCAAAGTATCCACCTCTCTGCCCACATTCGCCCCAGTATCCTTTAGAAACAGTGTGGAACGAAACAAGCTGAACCTCCTTGCTATAAGGCGGACCCATGTCCATCAAGACCTTCACAAAGTGTGAGTCAAGTCACTAAGCGGACTAAATAATAACACTACACCGACAGGGGAAGGCACAAACATACCTTCTTAGAGCTGATAAATGGGCGTTCGTCCTGGTAGATGTTCTGCTGGTAAACCTCATCTCCAAGGAGGACAAGGCCCTCTTGATAACAGAAGCGCAGTATTTCGCTCAAGTTCGCTTCACTAAGACACTGACCAGTGGGATTTCCAGGGTTGATTATCACCATTGCTCTCACCTGATCCACATTCCATTGTATAACAAAGTTCAGTTCAGCAATTCATGGCAAACTGCAGTAGGAAATCACCATGGGCAAGTAAAGACAGAATGTACTAACAGTTATCCCTTTGAATTGAGCTTGAGAAACCGCGTTTCTCAGGTCATTCACGTCGAGACCCCAGTTTGCCGTCTCTTCCAAGTAATATGGGACAAGAGTACCACCAAACAGACTGATTGCAGCTGAGTAAAGTGGGTATTGTGGCACTGGAACCAGGATCTGCCGACAACGAATACAATGATTGTGAGAAAAAAGCAAAGGAATGTTGTTATGAAGAGAACAGAAACAAAAAGATTTGACTTACCCCATCATTTGGACCTCTAATGATCGTGTTCAAGATTTGCATCACACCTTTGCTTGCTCCATCAGTGAGAAATATCAATTCTGGATCGCTGTCCACCAGGCCCAAGAACAGAAAAGTTAGTCCTCCTCCTAGTTCATAGGGATCAAAACCCAAAGACATAGGAAACTAATTTAGTCACCTTGGGTAACCATCGCGTCTTAGAAGGAAGTCTGCAACCTCCTTCCTTACTCCTGGAATGCCTCTGGAGTCGCTGTATGCACCTGAGAAACGATGAGGGAAACAACAATTATCCGGTGACACAAGAAGCATGCAGAAATGTATGGAGAAACGAAGGTGGGAAAATGATACCTAAACCACCAGAGGTCAAGGAAAGGTAATGTTTAGCCCTTGCGATGGCATCAGCAGGGAACATAAGTCCCACATTAGGATCATCCAGTAGAAAGGGAGCTTGGCAAAGAGCAACCACCTTTGAAATTCAACATCTCCTTTTAATCAATCAAACTAGAATCGAACTTAAGCTAAGTTAATAAGAAACTTGATGAGCTTAAAAGTTACTGCTTATGAAAACCTGTCGAGGGAAGGTCAGTGGCTTTTGTCCAAGAGCATGAGGGTTGCCAACATTTGTGAAAATGATCTACATCAAAACAATATTATCCAACAGTTAATTAATCAAGAACCAATAGATTAAGCCCCAAAAAGAACCAGCAGGGAACTTTAAGTTGGTTTTAGGTAGCTGCCATCTGACTTCTGAGGACTTGCATATTGCAATGAACCTGAACAGATAAATGACACATAACACTCCTCGAAATAACTAGCACAACTACAGTGACATCATCACCATGCTAATCTAAGGCGACAAATCAAGAGAGTTTGCTGCCTGTCATAGGACAACAAGGTTTCTGCTTTGAGGTAGGACAAAAATTTCATAGAAATTGAATAAAAAAGGGCAGCAGCAGCTAGCTAACATCATAAATCCGAAAGAGGCAAAGTAACGTACAAAGGAAATCTAGTGAAAAAGTCCAAGATTGGAACCTTCTTTCCTTCCTTCTGAAGCTCAGAAGCTCGAAGGTACAGCTCGCCCCTCACAGCATACTGAACCTTCTTCACGTTTTCGTTCAGGTGTTCGTAATCCAAACCCTTGGGCGCCATGGCTAATATGCTCGCCCTCTATCTATCGATTAACAGAGGAAATCCCAAAAAAAAAAAAAACTTAGTTTCTCTTCTGAGAAAATATACATCAAAGAAATGAAGCCCACTCAGAATGAAATGCGAGAGACGACTCTGGAGAAGTCATCGATTCTCATGAAACTAAAGAACCCAGTTAACTATGCGATCAAAAGAGCAAGACCCACTAACCAAAATGAAATTTAATTAGACTCAATCGAGAAACCAAAAGTTTCAACTGACCCAATTCGCACTGACACTCAATCAAACAGAACGAAACAAATCAAGAGGAAGTAAGAACTGGGTCAAACTGGGTACTGCACCTGGAACAGTAATGGTGGCGACTTTCTATGCACAAGTTGAAGTTTGCTGAGTGGCGCGAGTCGGAGCTGTGATTTTGGCTGGCAGATGAGGAATGGCGATGAGTGTCAGTTATGTTTGGCGCCTACGGTCAAGTAAGACGACGGAATTGTTAATATTTTTTATGTGGCAATGGGTAAACAATGAGGACATTTGGCCAATGGGTTCGTTATGGGGCACCACCATAACCACTGAATTTGTGTTTTAGTTTGATTTCTCTCTTTTTGGGGATAAAATTTCCAAAAAAAAAAAATTTAATTTTGTTGTGGTATTATTTCTGAAAGGATAATTGAATTGCATGAAATGTGGTGTGGCTTCAAACTTCGAGTTCTTGGTCGTGGCTCTCCCGAGCTTCATCTATTCCCCTTTGGAAGTATTTGATCTTTTTCCCCTTGACTCCAATTTGAAGATAGGAAGTTAGTTTGGTTGTCGCGCTTTGATTGATGTAGGCATATCTTTTGGCACAGGGCAGCTGTAGTGACTTAACTTTAGATTCGTGCTTGATGACGTGTGGAGAAGAAGCATGAGAACTATATGGATATGGTGTTTCTTCAATGTTTAGCATACTCACGAATTAGCCATCCGGATGTTCTTTATTCGAAATACAACAATGTAAATGATAAATTATCGTAAGAATTCAATTTTATTTTTCAAATTTGAGTGAAATTCTTAACTTAATAACACACATAAAGAACTTTTAGATGTTGCGAAATAATTAAAACGGATTACCCAAGATTTTTTAGGTGCTTCTTCATCTTCATCACAGACCTCTAAAATGGTGAGGTGTGGTTTATTTCCCTTTTTGTTAGGTTGATCAAAAGAGTTATTTGTGTGAAAGAATGAGCAATTGTCATTTTATGATTTGGGAGAAGTACCATGTTATAATACGAGATGATGAGAGCATGGAAGATTATATCCTTGTCTGAAGATATCTTATTATTTCACCCTTCTGTCCTACTACCTTACCTTAGACATGTGCTTCATTCCACAACTATCTCTTTTTTGCCTAAGGTTCCCAGTTCCCTCTTCCCGTTTTTAAAATATTTAATACCTATCTCATGTGTTAATCTCCTCTTTAATATCATTGCACAAGTGCTTGCTAGCATATTAAAAACGCTCCATTCCAAAGTAATTAGTGGAAACTAATTAACTTTAATTGAGGGTAGACGTATTAGGACAATATCCTAATGACAGAGGAGAGGAGCTATAGTCCGTGGTTATCATAGCTATCTGTTTACCATAGGTATGGAGGGTTATTATTGGTTTTGAATGCATCAACGGCTAAATGAGTCTTTGCCATTTCATTCTCTATGTATAAAGTAGCTCTCACACATCTTGTTTTTTAGATTAACTCCTCATATTTACTGAGAGATCAATTCCAGCCCTTGCAAAGATCCAAAATGTTTTGACTGAATTATATGGGTTGTCTAGGTTAAATTATAATCTAGTGAAATGTGTAGTTTATTTTGGTGGGTTTTAGTGATCTATAAATATCATGTTTTAGATGTATAAATTTCACGAGGGTAGAGTGCAATGAGATACTTATTACGTCTTCCCTTTATTTTAAGAAAAATATCCTGTAATAACCGTGATTGATTTATGGTCAAGATTACTTAGAAGATTAGGTCAGCGTTCAAAAGAAACCGAGTTCTGCAACGGCTCCAATTAATCTCTTATATTCCAATGGAGGGTTTGGTGGTTCTGGATGTAGATTTTTCTGTTGCCTAACAAGGATAAAAGAAATACACACTTTTATCTGATAAATTTTTTGGCATGATGGGGGTAGAAGACAAGGCAAAGGTCGTTGGGACTTGGGATAGAGTGACTAAACCTAGGAAATAAGGAGGTTTAGGGCTTCGTGAGCTATTTACTTAAGTTTGGGGTGAAGACAGGTAGTGTATGAAGTGTAAGTATAAGTTCTATTAGCTCTTGGGCTTGAAAAGGAATTCTAAAGTTTCGATCAGTGATACAAGACCATCTGAGCATGTACAGTAAATGTTGAAGTTAAATTGGCGCTTAGTGACACAATGTCGTCCTATGCTCGGCTCATTTATTGCTTTTAATTTTGGACGTCTTTGTTGCAAAGACTCCTAAGCATCGATGATGGTTAGATCATCCCAATCTTCATCTTCAAATCCTACATATATATGATATATCCAATAAGTTCATCCCCTTGCCCTTGCCCTTCCCTCCCCCTTGCGGCAACACGCATGTCAACAACTCAAATGCGGAAGTACAATCCAACAAACTTGGCAGCCATGGAGGAGTTCATTTCAACAATTATTTCCCGCGCGTATGCTGACCGGAAGTTATGCATATGGGGTATTATATTATAAAACTGAATCGCTAAATGTCGCCCTAAGAATTGCTAAACCTCGCCCTAACTTAAAAGTCAAATTACCTAAATCCCCTTAATGAAAATTAAAAAAATGGACTAGCCAAACAACCCTTCCCCTTCACCCTCCTTCCCACGCGAGATTCCTCTCACCCTCTGCAATTCATCCGCCGCCGGCAACCCCCTCACCCTCTGCAAATAAAACCCGCCGCCGGCAACCCCCACCCCCTCTGCAAACTCCCTTCCCGCCGTCCCTCGCCGTCGGAGACTTGCCGTCCCTCGCCGCCGGAGCAACAGTTTGGCAACCCCGCCGGAGAAAAAGGTCTCGCTCGCGTCGCCGTCGACTCGCTCCCGTCGGCGGCCTCCTGCTCCCGTCGCCAGCCTCGCCGCTACCCTTGCCCGTGCCAGCCTCGCCGCCGTCCCTCGCCGCCCGCGCCTCTCCGCCCACCAGCCTCGCCGGAGAGAAGGTGTGTTGGGAGACCGACCGCGGATGGTCAAACCGCGCTTTGACCGCGGTCAGCCGCTGGTCGAACCGCGCGTTGACCGTCGGTCCAACCGCGGTCGGCCCGTTTTTTTTTTAATTCTGTGTTTTTATTATTCGTTAAATAAATGTTAATAATAATTAAAAAAATATACTTAATAAAAAGAATTTAGTTATATTATTGATAAATGTTAATTTAGTTATAATGATAATTAATAATAACGTATTCGATAAATGTTAATTTAGTTATAATATTAATTTAGTTATATATTTTGTCAATAATGATATAAAATAATTTAAAAAACGTATTCGATAAATGTTAATTAATGATAACAAATTAAAGAACATTATAAAAAAATTAAAAATGTATTTTATCATTTTAATAATCAAAATTTCAAAGTAATTTGTTTATCTACTTAATTATTAATAATTTTACCGTGATTAAAAAGTAAATAATTATTACATAGAACGTAACATAATTGTTAAAACTATTAGTTTATAATTTTAATTATGAAAATATTAAATTAATTACTTTATGTACTCCATTATTAATAATTCAAACTTATTTTTGAAGATGTCTGGACATGGAATGGGTAAACCGGATATGATTAAGGCGAGAAATAAGGAGAGAATGGAGGTCGTGCTTGTAGACTTACGGCGACTGGTAGGAAGGAAAATGAAGAAAAAAAATCCACCTAAGGTTAGAAGGAAGAAGAAGAAGGCGGATGTAGTGCGTCCTGACGGCCACCCTACTGTGGGGCAGTTGTCTCTTAGTCGAGGTATTACCAGTACTCCTACACAGAGAGCGCACCGGTATGGCAGGCTAATTGGAGTGATTCCATTGACGAGGATGATGATGATGACGGTGATGCTGAGGTTGGGAATGCCCCAGATGTTGGTGATGATGCTGGTGATGCTGCTGTTGATGATGCTGGTGATCGTGCTGGTGATGCTGAGGCTGGGGATGCCCCACCTCAAGCTGATTTAGGCGTGGGGAAGACGGCGCGGGTCGGGATATCTTCTACTGCCTCCTCCCACTTCCGTGGGCCCGATGGACGCTATGCGTCCAGTCCTAGTAGCGAGGATGGCGGAGATGGAAATAGGAAGAGGAAGACCACGAGGAAAGATATGTCGTGGTTTCTTACAGCCGAGTCTCTGATGTGTTCAGGTGGACCAGTGATTCCCGATGTGATCCCTAGCTTTGGAGGTCACATTGGCTTTGTACTGTGGAATTCCCCTGAGCAGGACCGTGGAGTGTTGGACGGCTTCCATAGGCCGAGAGCTGTAGAGACTTTGAGGCGAAATTAGGAATATAATTTCTAACCTGTATCATTATGGATCACCGGCTCCGTCCCATTCTCGAAGTTGGTTTGTGCATTCCCATTCGGTGCACCATCTAGATGAAGAACATAATAGAATAAATTAATACAAAGAGTTACACTATATGTTTCCCCCAAATTAGGAATATAATTTCTAACCTGTATCATTATGGATCGGCTCCGTCTCATTCTCTAAGTTGGTTTGTGCATTCACATTCGGAGCACCACCTATCTCATTTAAAAAAATAGATTAGTTGTACACCATATTGAGGACAATTGAACACTACTAATAGAAAAAGTTAATCTACCTGTATTTCCATCATTGTCCGGAGTTGCAGTCGGAAGTCTTGAACTTCTCCTCCCTCGTCTCCTCTCCACATGCTCGAAGTGAGATAGGTTTCGAGTGGTGGACGTCCTTGGGCGACCGGGGCGGGGCTGTCCCCCATGCGGTTCATCAATGCCATCGTTTTCAGGATGAAGATGGCTCCGGAGTAGACCGATTGCACCTCGAATGGTCTCGTCACCTCTATCAAGAACCTCCTGTACTAGACCTTGGAACACACCAAGGTGGTAATCACTATGGTCATCCCACTCCGGCCGAGTAGGAGGTTCACGATAGTTGATAACGGTCCAGAATGGCAACACCTCATACAAGGCAAAATCCCGATTTTCACGTTGTGCTAACTGAATGGAACATCTACATGGGAGACCATAGGTAGGAAGAAACGTACATGTACAAGGTTCCCCTTCCACTGCTACCTCGAACAACATCAACCTCAGAGCTTCTAGAGTGACTTTCGTATTCAACTCTCGAAATGGTTTTCCATCCGCTCGGAGCAGCTTCTTTTGTCGGGAATCCTCTAGCAGCTTCCTGATTTGAAGGTGTTGAGCCTCAATGTAATCATCGTTCTTCTTGAATACCCACAGACAATGAAGAACAATTAGGAGACTACTAAAACTTATGTGTGTATCAATGAAGATTTATTAGGAGACTAACCGTGTCGACTGCGCCAGTAGATGATTGAAGCCACTTCTTGAAGGAGGAATGGGCAGCTTCAACCCTATTAGAGCTTGTGTTACCCAAATGCCGCAGTTGATTGGTATAACATTTAGCCCACATGTGTCTAACTGGTAACCACTCAGCTGTCATATACCCCCCAAAGACGTCGGTACTGTACTCCCCAACTACGTCTGAAATTGTCTAAGGCAGTATCCATGTCTTCCACTGTCAATGCATATACAACACGTTGCCAAGACGCCATGATATGATCCACTGTCGGTTTGGCTGCATCTATACCACAATGAGTCATCCTTTGCACCTCCGTTAGACAATTTGCTCTCACATTCCTATCCATATGCCAAAGACATAATATATGAGTCGATGATGGAAACATTACCCCCACGGTCTCAACCAATCCTCCTTCCTTGTCACTGACAAACACATCTGGAACAATGGGGCTAAGAAGATGTTGCAAATGGTTCAGAAGCCACTGGTACGACTCCTTCGTCTCGTCGTACACTATTGCAGATGCAATGACAAAGTTCAATCCCACTAGTGTCATGCCGACAATCTCAACCCAAGGCATATCATACTTATTGGTCTTGTATGTTGCATCTATCACGATCACATGGTGCCAAGCTCGCAACATCACTATTGACTCGGGGTGGGCTAGGAACAAGTGTGTAAGCACGTTACGATCGTCCATATACTGCACATAGTAACCCTTCTCCTGCGCCATGCGGAAAGTATACTGTAAGACTGTCATCTGACCAAGCTCTTCTTTCCTTATCATGTGACACTCGTTATAAATATGCTTTCTATTGTGTGTTCCATTTGCACCTTTTCTGTCATTCACTGCCTTGTGGATATTCCCTGGTGGGACACCGGCTGGTCTCAGCTCTCTGATGTATTGCTTATCCTCTGAGTCAAAACATTCCTTCCCTTTGATCCCTCCGGAAATAGCTCCAACTGATGATTGTGGAAATCCAAATTAGCACCAGGATTCTTTGTATTTGCCACCCCTAGGATCAACCAATATCCATCACCTGACCGCTCAAGCTTGATCTGAAACTTGCACCCCAACTTTTCAGTAGATGTAAGAGGCCTCCTTTCCTTACTCGGATCGGGTTCCTTGGACTGCTTCTTCCTATCATGAGTGCAATGTAAGTAATGTCGCCAAGTACCTTTATTCTTATTTTTTTTGTTCGATGCCCTCACCAAATAAAACCCAAAACCCTTGGCAATCTCAGTAGCTGCTTCATATGCTTGCAACTCCGTAGTGTATTTCACGCCATCAATGAAATCCGAGGTGTAATCACGGCCATCCGGATTGTAACTTCCAATATACTGCAATGTTATCAGAATTTATAAGTGATACCCCGCAAATATAAAAAAAAACTTAACATTCTATATCGTCAATTTAACGAGTACCATATGATAAATTTAAAATTTCATAACTATATTAAATTTAATAATCATCATAACTTCATATGTGAATCTATTATTTATGCAATAAATTTAATCTTAATTTGTAATGCAAAATCCAATCTTAATTTTCTAGATTAAGAACAAATTAAATCTAATCTTAATTTAAGGCCAAATCTAATCTTAATTTCTAATGCTAAATCCTTCAATTCCAAAAATAATTATGCAAATAAATCTAGAAAATTATATAAATCAAAGAAAAGAAGTTAAAGGGGTTAAAAGTATAACTTTGATTCTTTTTAGGACGACCTTTAGCAATTTTAAGAGCGAACCTTTAGCAACTCCCTTATAAAAAAAAGAAAAGAAGTTATGCATATGGAGTGAGTACGGCCTGCCCGGGTCATTCTGGGCTGAAGTGGGCCATCAGACCCAGTATGTGGTCTTCTAAGCCCAACCCAACCTAACCCACCACTGAAAGCCACCGGTCCTATCCACATTCCTTCCCAGTCTAAACCGTATGCGGAACCTTGGAGTTCCGTCGTGGATCCATGGCGATGGCAGCCTCGCCGTACTTCCGCCCCCTCAACTCCTCCTCGTTCTCAACGAATACCCGCCGTTCCCGCTTGAATTCCGCCTAACAACGCGGCAAACCCGCCACCCCGGTTCCTCGTCAGCTGCAGAAGAAATACAAAGCAGCCATCTCCACTCTTTTCTCCTTATTTATGGCGGCGGCGGCGGCGACAAACTCCCTGCTCCATTCCTGGCTCCACTACACGACCCGTTCTCCTTTGCCCAACCCCTACTCCAAATGCTCCTATTTCTCTTCTCCTCTTCTCCTCCAAGTCAATCCGTGTCGGACCAATTCGTTTCCGTCTCTGACGAGCAATTGCAGCTCTAGCCGCGTTTGCTGCGAAATCAAGAGTTTTGAGAGCCACCAACAGAATTTAACCGTCAGGTTTTTATCTGGCTCCGGCCAGTTACATTCAATCCAGAGCTCTCCCCCTCCTTCTTCCGTTCCAATGGCTGCCACTGCGTCGTCGGATTCCGGGTCGAAAGGCGTCAAACGGGTCTGCCTTTTCTACTGCGACGAGACCAAGGCCTTGGCTGAGCGAATTGCTAATCGCTCCGACGCTATCGAGCTTCGTTCCATCAACTGGAAGTGAGTACGCAGATTCCATCATTTCCCCGCATTAGCCTCAATTCTGCGGAAAAGTTTATTCTTCACTGTCAGATTTGGTACATTTTCCTTAATGTCTGTGATAATAATAGAATAATGATAGGTCATTGATTTATCGGAAACTTCGTGCAGCATTGTTACACTTCCTACAAAGGTTTTGGAGATTCTCTAATGTCTGTTCTGAATTTCCACAAAAAATATATAATGGTGGGTGTTTGATAGGACGTTTGATGATGGATTCCCAAACTTGTTCATACCAAACGCACAAGGGATTCGGGGCCAGCATGTTGCTTTCTTGGCATCATTTAGCTCGCCAAAGGTGATATTTGAGCAGCTATCAATCATCTATGCACTGCCCAAACTGTTCATCTCTTCCTTCACTCTGGTCCTGCCCTTCTTCCCCACTGGCACATCAGAGCGTATGGAGGATGAAGGAGACGTTGCCACAGCTTTTACTCTTGCTAGGATCTTGTCCAACATACCAACTTCAAGAGGAGGGCCTACTAGCTTGGTTACTTTTGATATCCATGCCTTGCAGGTCTGTCTGTTTTAAGGTTTTGCCTCGTGGGTTTTGCTTGGCTTGTATGGAAGTTTCTGACTTTCCTTTTCGACTGATTATTGGTTGAGTGTATGTTTAGGAGAGGTTTTACTTCGGGGATACCATTCTGCCATGCTTCGAAAGTGGGATACCTTTGCTTATGAATAGGTTGCAGCAGCTTCCAGATTCTCGTAATGTAAGGTTATGCAAATCTGCTATATTCCTGTTAAATATTGACAACCACTCTGTATCAAAGCATGGTTATGAAGGAACGGACTTGGTGGATGACTTGATGGATCCTTTTCTCTTTTCTTTTTCAGATAGCAATAGCTTTCCCGGATGATGGAGCGTGGAAAAGGTTTCATAAACAACTACAGCATTTCCCCACGGTACTGTAAATGACTACTTCCAGGGAGTCTAATTTCTCTCTATATTCATGTAGTTTGTTTGCTGAGCCCTCTGATTTCTGTCTGCGATTTTCAGATTGTGTGTGCAAAGGTTCGGGAAGGTGAACAGAGAATCGTGCGTATCAAGGAAGGAGACCCTCAAGGACGGCATGTAGTGATTGTTGATGACCTAGTTCAGTCAGGTGGCACCTTGATTGAATGTCAGGTAAAAATCACATCCAGCTTTTCGGTCAAGCATTATAGATGAGTTTCAGTGGAAGTTTCTACTCCAAGTAAAGCCTTTACATGTATCAAGTAAACAAAGAAGCTCTGGTGCACTTGACAAAAATAAAACCATTGTGTGTTCCCAACAGAAAGTGCTGGCCAAGCATGGTGCAACAAGAGTAAGCGCTTATGTTACGCATGGCATTTTCCCTAATCAGTCGTGGCAGCGCTTTCAGTCCGACAGTGCAGGTATGGTCTAGTGTTTTGATATCATAACTCATACCATGCTGGTTGTACATGGTATGGATTTATAACGATTTTTCTGAAGGTATTATTGATGCATCAGTCTTTAAATCAGTCTTTAAACGGGGTTCTTGTCTGGTAACAGGTAATCCAGCTACTGGACTGACCCACTTCTGGATCACGGATTCATGCCCATCGACAGTTAAGGCAGTGATGAACAGACAACCATTTGAGGTTCTTAGCCTGGCTAGTTCAATAGCAGCTGCCCTTCAGATCTGATCGTAATGATTACAAGCTTTTCCATCATCGTCTATAAGAGGCTTTTGTTCCCCAGGAATTTTTTGGTTCTTTTCTTCTTTGTTCTCTTCAACGGCGTATGAGTATCCGGCAATAAGAGGCACAAGTACAAAAATCAATGTTTGTCTTTAGCATTTCTTATTTATAATGAATGATGGATTGTTATGAATAAAAGCTGGAAGAAGAACGAAAAAGAGCATCCATTTGCTCTAAAAGGCAATGTTCTTGAGATTCTACAAAAAACACGGCCCTATAAATTACATGTAACTGTGCATTTCTCATTCACACTCTGATCTAGGACGAGAAAGAAGGTAATGTGTTACACCAGTGGAAAGGATACTGTAGACCTCATTCACTTCATCTTATTACTGGCCTTGATATAATTTAGGAACCTTTTGAGTGGACGACCACTATCGATGGCTTCTCTAGCTCTATCCAGGGCTGAATTTACATCTTCTGCACCGTCACATCCCAGCAAGTGATCAATCATTCCAGCGTTTAATACAATACGATCATATGCAGGACCCTTTTGGCCATGAAGAGCTGCCAGACCTAGCTCTATGTTCTTGGAAACCTAAGCAAAAGAAAGGAAATGTAAACCCACTTGAAATAGTTCGACCACCATGAATTGTTTGGGAACCTAAACAATTATCTGCCGAGGGAAGATAAATTCATTACCGATCTATCTGTTCTTGGAGTATCGGTGGGTTCAAAGCCATAATCCTTGGCGTTGACCGCAATGCTAAAGCTCTGACGTGAGACACCTGCTAGGAATGACAAGGGCAAATGAACAAAAACTATGGCAAGAGGCTCCTTTGAAAGGAAAGTTCCAGGAGATGTATCAAAGCAAAAGAGGCAAACCATCAACTTCAAGAGCAGATGCCGCAGTGGATGAGCGAAATCCAGAGCAGTAGTTGACCGGGAGTCCTTTTGATGCATTTCCTGACCTCAGTCTTGTTGTCATAGAGAGGGCACCTTCCTCAGTCTTGTTGTCATAGCGAAATCCAGAGCAGTTGTTGTCATAATATGGCTCACCCTTACTAACTGTTGAACCTTTTCTGTGGTTGCCAGTGGGGGACGCTTCTTTATGTGCTCCCTCAACCCAATTAATGAAAATCTGCAAGATGGAAATGTCATTGCAATTTTTAGTTCCTGAAACATTAGGCAAGGAAAATGAATATCAAGAGTAACTGTGAGCATACAGTCACAAGTGGACACTCAAAGACGATTACAATAGTTACAGCAGCAGCATAAGGCCTTCTCTATAGGGTGAGGAGAACAAGCAAGAACAAAAATACAGGCTTGAAATAAATACTCAATTAGATTCCGTACAGGGATGGGAGAGCCTCACGCTGACTTAAGTAGGCAAAACCAAGATCTTTATCCTGAATGAATATAAGGGAAAAGTTAGAAAAATAGGTGGTACACCAAAAATGGGTGGTAAGTGGATAAATTAGGAACAACAAAACAGCAACGGAAATGCTGCAACAAGAGGAGTTAAATATGAGTGCAAAAAGAAAGGAATGATTGTCGTTCTTGTCACTATTTGAGCATCACACCTACCTCAAGAAGCTCTTTCGCCTGCAACGAGTTTAGGTGTGTATTTGCACCCATGAACTTCAGCATTTGTTCTTCGGTTATCCCTCCCTAGGACAGTTATCACCATTTCCATCTTAGTCCTTAGAATATGAAAGTCTGAATGCAGTATGGGAAGAACAAATGAAGATTCCTATGGGAAGTTTCGACATTTGTAATCATATGGTACCACCATATCAATCACCACAGTTGAAGGATTTCGAGATCCAGAAAATAATAGGAACCCTAAATCACCAATACGTCAATTTGCGGGAAACATAAATGAGTTGAAGACTGACCTTAGGTGGCATCCAGTCCACACCATGGAGCAATGAAGATTCACCATAACAGGATCTAACAGCAGCAACAAACAACGTGCTCCAGAAGAAAAGTGTGTTCCCATCATAAGGTTCACCATAATGGGTCAATGATCCCACATCAGCAACTGGAGGAGGACCTAATAGCCAACTGGTAGTAGAATCAGGCAAAAGAGGCTATATAGCTAATTGGAAAGTCTTTCATGAATGATAACTCTAAAAGGCGTGTCAAACAATGGAATGCTTACCAAGTTCATCATCAAAAGCATGGCAATATGCTTTCAATTCACGATCTGTCTCCCTGTTCACCCGCTGACCAATTAAGAACGCTGACACCAATGACTCTTTCGAACTGTCTTTGCCATCTTCAGCATTTAAGGGAAGAACATCTCTCAGAACACCTTGGACCTCCTCGTACCCGAGATGACCCCCAGCTAATACCTCCCTAAGTGCACCAACCAATCTCATCTCAGTCGTATCATTGCCAACATATTGCGGCCCTATCGAACTCCCCATTATAGAGCCCTCAGGATCAGCAATGAAGACTACATCAGGTGGTAAAGCTCGGACTAGCTGGGGCCAAAACGTGCTAATTGCACGCTTTTCCCCTTCACTCCACTGAGTAGCTTCAGGAAAGGCATTCGCACGTATCGTCATTCCAGCGAAGAAAGCCCCTAGCTGTGCTCTGGAAACTCTCTCTTCGTCTTTGAGCTCACCCCTCACTGACAAAATACATCAAACCACCGAAATTGAGCAACTATGCAAATTTTTGCTGCTCGTTAAAATTCTAATGGAGATTGAGCCAACCTGATCTTAAAATGGTGTCGAAAACTTTGAAAGCTTGCTCCTCGCTAAGCGGCTTGGTCATTTCAGGTCCGGTGCAAACCCTAGCCTGAGCTTCCAGCACAGTCTGATTCGGCTTCGGCAAATTCGAGCTCCGATAAGTGGAAGAAACCGCGGGATTCCTAATTTCGGATTCCGATATTCCTAATTGATCCAGCGTAGCCGAGTCTATAACAGCTTTCACCGCCCGCGAGCGAGCTCTCGCGATACAACGACCTCCAATTTCCGCGGGAAACCGCAGAGAAATGTGAATATTCAAACGGTTGAGGCGGCAAGGTTCCGCGACCCGAATAGAGAGAAAAGGCTCCGAACTTAACAGCGCTTCCATGACAGTCTCGAAAACAAGGATAAATAAGAAGTTCTGGCAAAAGGTGGTTAACTTTCTCTCTGTGCTTCACTGCTTCTATTATTTTGCCTGTCTACTTTGACCGTTGCCAATATGAAATTCGCAGTGCTGAAGTCCGCCGGGGAAAGTTTTTTTTTTTTCCTTAGAAATTTCCGCCGGGGAAAGCTTACCGGTCATTTGACGGTGAATTGCACTCACCACGAGACGGCGGGTCTAATGTTTGTGAGGAACTATAGTTAGGGGTGTTCAAACGGTTTGGTTACCATGGTAATCGTTTTAACCGGTACTATTTGGATAATTTGGTTTGGTTAATTTGGATAATTGGTTTGGTTTGGTTTGGTTAAAGTTTTTAGCTTGTTTGGTTTAGGTGGTTTGGTTTGGTTTCAGACACTCATAACTAGTCAAACCAAATTAACCAGTTAAGTAATTAGTCATATATCTAACATATATTATATACACATACTTAATACTTTGAATAACCACTCAAGAGTTAACGTTCATCCCTTTTAGACTCACAAAATATAAAGCTTAATATTGCTCATATAGTGTATATTTGTATATGTAAAATGTAGACCACAACATATGGACGCCTAATTTAGATTAATTTCATACATTATCATGGATGAAAACTTGAAAGGAATGTCATTTCCAGCCTATGATAATTGCTAAGAGACTAAGGGTTCGTTTGGAAGTTGTGATTGTTAGAGTTGTGATTGTTGAATACATGTATTGTGCACAATACAATGTTTGGAAGTGTCAAAGTGTAAAACAATGCATGCATTGTTTTAGGTAGGTCCCACCAACAATCACAAAAAATGATGCATTATACAATCTCAACTAAAAGTTGAGATTGTTGGTTTTAGATTTGTGTCAACTTTTTCTTTCCATTTATATCCTTAATAGTTTTTGTCTTATTCTAAAAGTTAAGGGTAAATGTGACATTTCCCCATAAAGTAACTTTATGTAAATCAATACATAAAATAGAATCTCAACAACCAAACAATGTATTGTTAAAATACATCTATTGTATCAATACATGCATTTATATTATGGTGATTCATTACAATGCAACGATTTAACATTCGCAACTTCCAAACGACCCCTAAGTCAATTTACACAAACACAACAATTCATTAACCCATACCATTGTCATAATTTTTGTTAGGTGAATACTTCTATACTAATCATAAGATAATTGTCTTAGTTGCATGTATTTTTGTTAAGGGTCAACTATAACTACGTGTTGATTGTTATGTTTTATTCATTATATAAATTGCGAATTGTTGCATTAACCGAAAAAATTTCACCGTCAATGATAATGTGATTTTATATTGGTTAATCTGGTTAACCAATTAACCAAACCGATTAAACTTTAGTTTGGTTAATTTGGTTGTTGTATTAGTTTGGACGGTTTGGTTATGATATTGTATTCCATGGTTAATGGAATTTATCCTTATTTGGTTTGGTTATAACCATGGTAACCATTTGAACACCCCTAACTATAGTGGGACCGTCAAAATGGTGAAAACATCCTTAAACCTCAACTTATGCCATGTTCACTTCCCATTTCATTTTCTGTTTTCTGTTTAAAAAATGAAAATCAGAAAATAAATGACAAAAATCGTGTTCACTTGACCATTCCATTTTCCCTGAAAAAAATCAATTATTACAAATGAGAAAGCTTTGGAAAAACGATAAATACCTGTTTTCCGAAAATAAGGGCACGGGTTATCCCCCGTTTCCCAGCGGAAAACATGCTTATTCATTAAAATCGATCCGCGTTTGATTCACCACAGATACATTTTTTCTCCCTTTTTCCTCCGAGCTTCTAAATGCTGCCGTTTTTCCCCCATAGCGCTGCCGTTTTTCCACCATAACCCTAGAAGAGAAACTTCGGCTTCTCCTCCCACTTCCTTCTACCTCTCGCGCGACCCTTCGCTCTGCCGCCAACCCGCCATTCCCTACCCCCAGACACCCTGCCTCCATCATCTTCCTCTCCCTCCAGACAACGACGCCGCGTCCGAGTACTCGAGCAGCAGCGAAGGAGACGGTGCAATCATCTTCCTCTCCAGTCGGTGCCCCGTCTTCCTCCTGCTAGCGACCCATTCTACGTAGAAGCAACAGCCGACGCCTCGTCTTCCTCCAACAGAGAAGCTACAGCCGCACATCTTCCTCCGGCGACGCTCTCTCTCTGGCGTTGCTGTTCAACAAGGCACTGTTTTCGATTCGGGTCCCAATTACCCTCGCGCTGACGCCTCCCATTGCCAGGGCTTTGGCCAGGAGAGGAATGATCAGGAACACTGTATGAGCTTCGAATTGTACTTTCTTTTCCATTTTATTCACTTTCGTGTTGCTTCCAGTGATTATGGGTAGCTTTTAGATCACGAGAGGATTACTGATAATGGTTCTTTGAGTAGTGATTTGAGAATTTACGACAATAGCAAATATCCATATGTGGTTTTGCTGTGCATACTTTGTTGTGCCTTTTCTGGATTTCAGAATAACAGGGAAAGATTCTAGCTTTTCGGTTTAATCCTTCCCGCTTTGTTGTTGCTATATGATCCAATTGATTTGCCTTCGTGTCCTAGAACTTCATGAACAAACATCATATATGAATCTAGGGTGTTCTTTGAAGTTTACGTATTGACTGGATGCATATTGATATGCCTGGTTCACATTCGGTGGTAATTGGAATTTTCTAAGCGGGATAGGGTTTTAGAAGTGCAAGATGTGCGCCTCGTAAACAACTTTTTAACTATTATCATTCATCTCTACGCAATGTTATCGAGCGTTGTTTTGGAGTTTTGAAGGCTAGATTCCCCATTTTGAAGCATATGCCTCCTTTCGAATTAAAAATTATAATCATGGCTAGAGTTGTATGATAATCAAGAATCAGAAAACAGAATGAAGCAACTAAACAGGTTTCCATTTTCAGAACTCAATTTCAGAACTCACCAAAATTCTTAGCTAAACAAGGTTTTTGTCAGGTTTTGTTTTCCAGGAAATGACAGCTTCGTTTTCATTTTAATTTTGTTTTATGTTGTGGCAGCTAACAGAAATGGAATGGCAAGTAAACGGCCCATTAGTTGATGAGGGTATCTACGTCTATGTCAATTTCGTTATGGTGCACATAGCTAAATCTACGTGGACGTCCATAAAGAGTAGGGAGGAAGTCAGGTCGCTCAAACTGCCAGTGGAGGACAAGGATTGATCGGCAGCGGGACGGACTGGAGGAAGGAGTGAAGCTGCCAAAGAGAGGGTGGGAAGCCAAGCTGAAGGGAAATGGGTGGGGTCTGGGCAATTTTGGGTTGTTTTGGGGGATTTTGTAAAAGGAATCGAATTGGCAATTTAGGGTTGAGGCCGCAGAATTGGGGAAGAGAAGAGTTTGAGAAAAAGGAAGGAAATGCTCGAAGAAGACAGACAAACAAGCTGTTTTTTTGTCTTGCTACTTCTGTGTGCTCAAGAAGGCAAGGCCCACTTACAAATAAAACTAAAATAAGAGTCTAACACAAAGGTTTGAAATAATTTAAATGATAGCAAGCCTAGTGTACTCTTGAGAACCCAGCCTGTTGTTTACCCTAATTCTTCCTACGACTGTTCTACAAAAAACAGAGTGATTTCCAGAACAGAGAAGTATAGCAGAAGAAAATTGCAGGAAAGGAAATAGCAGAAAGGTAAAGAGACACGATTTTTTTTAATGTGGTTCACCCTCGTGCAATGGTTACGTCCACATCCCAGATATCAGCATCTGCTGTCTCCAGGAGAGTTTATTTGAGAAGAAAGAATACTGGACACCCAAAACATAGCAGTCGTGATTCCAAACCCAGAATCACCCAATTTTCCTTACAACCTAGTCTGTTCAGAACCTATATCCCTGACACAGACAAGCCCTTTGATCCCAAAAGCCCTATACCGCTTTCTTACTTAACCTGATCAAAGTTCCTTCATTACAAAGAACCAGAATCCTTTAAATAGACACAACAGGAAGACCGTTGGAAGACTTTCCTCTAATTTTGGTAATTGGCACCAAATTCGGATTGTAAATGTTGGAGGCTGATTCCTCGACAACTAGAACTTTCCATAAGTGAACAATCTCCCACTTCTTCCAACCGATTTTTTGCCAAAAAAAACTCCCAAAAATTAGCTCACATTTAATACTCACCTAGTCACCTACCAACTTCTCTCTCCTCAAACTCTCTTCTTCCTCATCTTTTCTCTTCGTCCTCCATTGAAGAGCAAAAGCAAGAACACCAGAAATTTGAAGAAAGAGGATTTAGGGTTACAATATGGGTCTCAAATGCAAGATTTGTTCTTCAAAGAGAAGAAAAAGATACAAGAGGAAGAAAGTTTGTCAAAGATGGGAGATGCACCAAAAAGTTCGACCTTGAAGATAAAGTGGCCGAGGTCGAAAGAGATACAACAGAACAAGATGAGGTCGACCTTGTTGATACCATCCTCCAGGCGCCTTCTGGGGCTCGCAAGATTGGATGACTGATGTTGATGAAATAGAAGGTGTATGTGAATACCACAAAATCATATTCATGTACACTTACAAGAAAAGGCGATTCTGCAGCGCAAGCCACCGCAATTTCCACACTGAAATGAAGTAGTAATTTCTATGCTGCAAATTGGTGGTCCTTCTAAAGCCTCTCCATCTTTGGATTTCTTTCTTCCAAGTTGTATGCCTTAAGCAAGCAACAGAGGCTCTTAGCCGCCATTAAACAGTCTGAATTTGGCTGAAAATGGCGTTATTGTCGGAAACCTCCCGCGGCCGGGAGAGTATAACTTATCTAATTTTATCGATAAACAAAAGCGGTCGTCCTTCCGTGGAATCTGAACCTAGCGGCGGTGGCGGCGAGGAGGAGACTATTGAGGCCGTCTCCCTGATTTCGAATCTTCATAGCGAAATTCATTCAAACATATCAGTTTCAATCGCACAGGTCCTTTAACGGGTATGCTTTGACCGACACGATTCTCGTCCTCCTGAGTAAGGAGAAGCTCTCCATTTTCACACCGCAAGCTTGCATCCAGTACCTACTCTTCCACGTCCTCCGCCTCATCAGGCATGAGCAGTAGCAACCGGCTTATGCTACGCGCCTGCTTGTCCTTAGCTTCTTACTACAACTCCATTGGCGACGGCGGTGGAAATAGTGGTTACAACGGCGCCCGATCTAAGACTCCCAGTATAGTTCGCAGTCGGATTCAATGTACTAATGTAGTAGCTTCGAC